GGCCCGCAATCTTCCAGTGCGCCCCCTTTGACCATTCTGTGAGCTCCAGGCCAAGAGCAGCCTTCTTCTTCTCGACGCGAGCTCGGCGGCTGACGATGAAGTTATGGCGAGAATCAATCGCTGTTGCGCAATCAGACGGAGGTTTGATCTGGTCGACAAGCTCGCTGTTCACAATGATCATGCGCTCGAAGGGCTTGCCAAAGTCAAACATTTGGTAAACAGCCCCGGCCACCAGGTTCTGAATGCTCGGCTTGTCGATATTGCCGGCTTTCATGTACAGGCGCAATGCGTCAGGAGCGAAGCGCCAATCCTTCACGAGTGTTTTCAGTAAGCTCGTGAAGAAGAGAGTATATAGAGCGCCCTTGATGCGGTCGTGGTCCACAGCTTCGATGGATGTGCGAAGCTTCTCCATGATGATTGGAATGACCATGGGGCGACCGCCAATTAGGGCCTTGAGGGAAGACTCGAGCGAGCTCTGCGCCACTCGTCGAACGTCGGCATACAGCGACGTGCAAGACTCGGCCAGATCCAGCAGCAGACGCTTGTCCAATTCACTCTTTTGCCTTGCCGAGGCGTTGTGTTTCACTCGCAGGAGCTGGTAGGCATCAGCTCTCTTGATGAGCAGAGGTCGGGGGTAAATCTTTCGAAGTCCACTAATCTTGAAGGCAGCAATGTCCGACTTGTAGAGGCGGAGATGCCTCTCGAGGGGGTGGGCTGAGCGTTCGATGCCGACATCAGTGATCCAGGTTCGGTACGCAGCATATAGAGCGGTAAAACAAGGCACGTCATCTTCCACACTTGTGTTCAGGAAGTGGTGTGTTCTGGATAGAAGGCGCCCGAGATCTTCCCTCAGGTCATGTATTTTCCGATAGGCAGGGTCGTCAGACGACAGAAGGTATCCGGCCTGGTAGCGGTACTGAGGTCGCGTCTCCTCATCTTCGGCAGCTTCCGCAAGAGGATCGTCACTGTCATCCTCCATGGGAACATCGCCTTCAATGTCCGCTCCGGTAGATGAGCCCACCGCGCCATTCAGGCCTCCGGAGGCGCGTTTGGGATCAAAGAGTGTGGCCATGCCGGAGATCACGAGTCGGATCTGAGATAGAAGTCTCGACACTTCGTCGGACCATTCCTTGTTCTTGCCTTTCCTCGGCACAGGGGAGTTATCGCTCATGAGTAAATCGAGCTTCTCCGCGGCACCTTTGGTCTGGGCATCAAAAAGTTCTACAGCAAACTCGATCTCCTGGGGAGACGGCCGGTGCCACTGGATCGATAGATCTGCGGGCTTGGTAGTCTTGCCCCAGTCGTCAACGTCAAGTCCCCGCTTGAGCACGCTGGGTTCGTATAGCGCATTATCGAGGGGGTAGGTGTGTGTAAGGTTAAGTAGCAGGTGGTGGATGTAGTTCGAAATGTGGATGGTGGGAAGTCCGCGACACTTTTCCTGCATGTATTGCGCAATCGAGTACAACTCCTGCTTGTACTTGACGACTTCGCCGCCAACATGGACAACAACCATCCCTAGCATGCTCACGTGCCAGACGAGAGCACGATCACGTGGCAGATAGTCTGTGCCACTGCTCCGGTCCGAGGCAGCGTGGTTGTAGTCGATCTCGTTGCGGATGTTGGCGATGAGCATGGGAATGAACACCTTCAGTGTCTTTTCCGGGTTGACTTTGCACAGAGCATTCAAGATCCAGGCCATTGCATCTCGTGCCTGGTGAACAACATGCGTCGACACGAAAGACGAGAGCTTCTCCAGCGCAAGGTCGAACAACTCTGGCGAGAGAGAGGCGAAGAGCGGAGACAGAGCAGCAGGCAAGGCGTTGATGACGTTGTCCTCTGGTGTGGTACCACGCAGGTGGGAAGCGTCGGGCAGGTTCTCTAGCAGCGTAAAGACCTTGCCCAAAAGCGCAAGCACGAACTCGCCCATGCCGAGCGTGGACGACCTCAAGATTGCGGCTTCAACCTCATCCGAAAGCTCAGTCGCATAGTCAATTTCAATATGCTGGCCTTCACGCTCCATGCGCTCCATCTCACCTTGCACCCACTCCTCTGCCAGCCTGGTATCATGTATCTCGCTGCCCTTCTTCACAAGGGGCACCATGGGAATGCTGTACGCTACGCTCTGGATGAAGTTTAGAGTGTGTTGCGTCTTTCCGAGATCGTTCGCGTCGATGCCCGGCAACGAGAGCGCCAGGAGAGCAGTGATGTGGCAGCGGAAGCCTTTCTGCTTTGACATTGTGTTGGCAATCATCTGCAGACTGTTGAGACTGGACGTTGTGCGGTGAACTTCCACAAGACCTTGCAAGCTGGGGTAGAACCGTTGTAGCGCTCCAGGTAGCATCAAACCAGGCTCGAGATACGAAAGTCCCTGCAAAGCGGCGTAATAATAGTGGGCTACCCGACTGCTCTTGGAAAATAGGCCCATGAAGGTCACCTCTCGAAGAGCCAGGACGAAGCGGCGTTTCAACGCAGGACTGATCTTGCGATCTGCGGGAATGTCGAGCTCTTCGCTCTGTTCGCGGTTCCACCTCGACACGAAAATATCGGTCAAATATAGAGTGAACTGGCCCAGGAAAGTCGTCCAGGAACCCGCGTTGGAGGGGTGGTAAAAGGTATCCACAGCCTCGAGCAAACCCTCCAGACTGCTGATAATAGAACTCTCCTCTTCTAAGCACTTGGGCGATAGTGAATAGATCAGAAACCTGGCTATCAAGTATGCGGTTGGGTACTTCTTCTTATCCTTCTCCAAGTACATGCCCAGGCCAGCCTGGTAGTCGAGAGAGGTATAGGGCGAATTGGCCTGGCCCACCGGAATATCCGTCAGCCGCAGGACGGCCGTGAACAAGACATCGGATTGCTCCCTGGTGAAGATGCCGTGCGCGCCGAAGGGCACATGCTTGGTCTGAAGCATATCCCTGGCGAGGCGAGACGACAGATCGATGAGGTGAACGTCGAATGTTTTAGATCGCGCGACGAGGGACCACAGGTGGAAGACGGTCGGCATGAAGTCTTGTGGCAGAGCACAAGGTTCGGACTCGGGAGCGGCCGTGGTTGGAAGGAGGGCATTGACCATGCCCATGACGATATAGGCATCAGACAGATCGGACGTGCTGAAAAAGGGCAAGAACTCCTCGAGCATTTCACGTCTGTCTTTCGGGTCGAAGTATGTTTGCGCATGCAGACACAGCTTCCAGAGCTGCTTATGCGATTTCCGTCGGCTGCTCTGATGGGCTGGCACCTCGCTCGGCAGAACGAGAGCCTTGACTTCGCGCCATAACGGCCTCCAGTCGAGAATGAGATCGTCAACGGGCTTTAGGTAGTGGAATTTCCTGCACGGGAGAGAGAGAGACTGGTCAGGAAAAACGGTTGAGGGCAGAGCGTTCTTGTTGCACAAGCATACCTAGTAAGAATCACCACCATCTTGAGGAACCGGTCGGCAGCGGTGGGGTCAAGACCTGGAGCCAGACACAGGTGGTAGTACAGCTTGGCCAGAGTGGCGCGAAGCTCTCTCGTCATCTCAAACTTGAGGTTCAGCCATCCCTGTAGCTCACGCGTCCAGTGAAGAGCGCCGGGAGAGAAGTCCTCCGCCTTGATGGCGATGTATAGCTCTTTCAGAATACCCGCCAGCGCGACGTCCCTCTCGCCCTCCTCCTCGACGGGAAACGGCAGGTGGTCGAAGTAGCTGAAAGTGCGGGGGCGATATCGCTTCGTGTCATCCTCATCCGCCTTGGCATAGGGAGGGCCTGGTGAGTTGGTGCGCGAAATGGTCTCGATGGAAGAGAAGTGACTCGTGAGGTGATGCGCATGCGAGGCAGCGGACAGGGTCATGGCCGCATTGGTAGGCAGCGGACCCGGTGCCTCATCCATGATGGCTGCGGAAATCTGCCGACCGCAGACGAGTATAAAGTTGAGGACTTAGCACGGCGCGGGAGTAAAGGTCGATGGAGAGTCGGTCGCACAAGGGAGGATGGTCGGCGGTGGCAGGTAGGTGGTGGTCGAGGCGAAATTCGGCAGGGAAGCTCGGGGCTGTCGGTCGCGTGGTGAAGCAATTGGCCGAAACGGCTGCCGGATGTCTAATGCCTCGGGGGTCGAAGGAAACAAAAGAGCAATGATGGCGGTTCCGAAATGTCAGGCAGGGATTGATGGGGTGGGTGCCAATGCCCGATGTCTTTATGTGGACAGACAAGGCAAAGTGCAGCTTGGTAAGGTGATGATGCTAGCACCGCAGCCTGGTCTGGCTCGCCTAGGCTACTGCTCTTTCTCACTGGTGGTGGTGCTGCTCCTATTGCTCACACTAGGTACTGCTGGGCTGGTGCTGGTGGTGGTGGTGCTCTCAGCTTGTTGCCCAGGTAGGTCTAGGGACGCGGCCACAGTTTAGGCACTTCCCGGCACGTCATTCGCCCAATTGCGGTCACCCCTTCTACGGGACCTGGGCTCGGTGGACGGGCGGCCCACCTGACCAGCTGACTCTTGACCTAGCGCTGCTTCGTCTTAATAAGCAGACGCTCGTCTCGATGGTTTCACAAGTACTGGGCCAAAGGGTCCTATAGCTCCGATATCTACTCGATGCCACAGACCAAGATATTATTTGTTCACCTGGTTGACTTGAAGTTTGGAGAGCTTCCCGTACAGCAAAGACATCAATGAGATTGATTTGAGGGCCCAATATGCATCCGACCCCCGTGCATGGCTGACGTCTTCCGATCCCCTTCCAGCTCGCCGCAGGCACCATTGAGCGTCGTAATCAAGGCCTGCCATCAGCTGACTTGGTGCACCGAAAACGCTGGCTTAGGCATCCTAATTTCGTATGCGACCTAAGGATCTCAGGTCGAATTCCACAAGCCGGGTGCTATCATGAACGCATGCGGGAACCATGAGGGAGCGGCGGAGATCGTACTACGTCAAGCCAGTCGCAGCCCCCATTCCAGGACATTGATGTTGAACTCAGCGCCAGTATTGCTCAAAAGAATTTCGGCCAACCTTGGGGGGAAAAAAGTTCTCTAAATATACTTCAATCGCTTGGCGACCAGCAAAGACAAGAGCACAAAGAGGATAATTCCACTCGTGATGCCCAACCAAGCATTCAGATTGTCGTCCTGTCCCCATGGTACCCGGACATTCATTCCAAAGAGGAAGCAGACCAAGTTGAGAGGTACAAGAACCGACGCTATGACCGTAATACGGCTCAGAAACTCGTTCGTTCGGTTCCCCTGCGTAACATTGTCGATGGACAGTTGGGCCAGGTAATTGGATCGGCAGCGAGACAGGATCGTTTCGAACTGCACGAGACTGTTGATCATGGTCACGACGTGGTCCTGAATGTCGCCAAGATAGAGACCAATGTCCATGCGAGGAGTGACCTTGTAATTCTCGTTACACCGTTTGACAAAGGCGCGCAGGACGTCGACCTTGCCGCCGAGGAGTCGCATGAGTCCTGTGAGATTGGCTCGCGAGCGGCTCATTCGTTGGAGGAACGCCTGGTGATCCTCTGGTCTCGTGATGAAGACTTCGTCTTCGATTTTGTCTGCCTCACGCTCGATTTGCGTAATGGCAGGGAGGAAAGAATCCACAATGTCGTCACTACTTCTGCATTAGCACCTCGGGAACGACATAGTGTGGCAGAACAATCGAGCTGGCTTACATCAGGGCGTAGCAGATCCAGTCACTGCTGAGAGAGACGTGCTCAGTCAGTTGTGAGATCCTGAAACGGACTTTGGATGCGTGTGTTTCCGGTGCGAAGCTGAAGGTGATGATGCCCTCGCGGAACACCACGAGGTACATACTGAAAGGCTCGAACTCGATTCCTTCAGGTTCCTCAACGACATGGAAGGATCTGAAGGAGGCAAAGTAGTAGGACGGGAAAAGCTCAATCTTTTCGCGACTCTCCTGCGTGCTGATATCCTCGATGGTGAGCGGATGAATCCCAAAAGCGCTGGAGATGGCAACGACTTCTGTTGGCGTCGGATTGTTGAGGTGCAGCCACCAAACACCATTGGCTGTTTCCTGCGAAGCATGGAACAAGTTTCTGACGTCCTCGCCGGGAAGAAGAAGGTCCCCGAATTCTGCAGCGTGCAGCGTTGACTCCCAGGCCGAAGAGAAGAAACTGAAGCGAATAGGCTTTGGCTGCTGCTGGGCCGCCGTCATGCCATGCGCCTGCTTGGAGTCGCTCGAAAGTCGAGGAGGAAGTTCCATAAAGTCTCCGTCCGAAGTGACCATTGGGAAGTGGTTGGTTTCCATGCCGCTGGACTGGAAACTTTCGAAAGCGTGGGGGGTAGGGCGCTCACTTTGCTCCAACTCGATCAGGGCGTCCAAAACGTTGAAGTTTATGGAAAGCTCATGATTGGACTGCGCCATGCGCGCTGGTCGTGATATATCAGTGTCACTGGACCTGATCGTTGCCAGGCTGGCTAGGCTTTCCGAGTCGTCAAAGTCCACAGTACCTGGTCGGCTGCGAGAACTCCGGGAGCTACGAGCATCGTCTGAACGGAGGCTGGCACCGTATGCCACGTAACTGCCGCGTCTTGCATCGTCGCGCCTCTCAATTCCTTGTGTCTCGGAACTGATCGAAAGCCGGCCACGCTGCCGCGCACTGGCGAAGGCCTTCACAGAGCTGGGCGTGGGGCATCGCCGGGATTGTCGATCTGAGCGAGAGTCTGGCGAACAGGCACGGTCTGAGCGAGGCGCTCGATGGTCATATCGACCGATCGAGGCGTGGTCTTCGTCGTCAGACATGTTGCTGTTCTGCACTGTACTTCTTTCCATGTGCGAGTGGCGGATTGAATGCCTGATGGCCGAAAAGAGTAGGTATGATGAGATTGTCGGGCATGAAGCCTCAAAAGCTTGTCGTTTGAGCTTCAATGCCTCTCAGGGCGTTCTTTTTGCTCTCCCAAGCTGGAAGCCGTCGCGTCGTGTCGCCGGCATATGAGGCGCGCGGGCGCTCAATCGCGTTGCGAGTGCCGGCATCGATGAATCGAAAATTGCGTGAATGAGTGAACCTGCAAAGAGGAGAGACGATGCAGGCCATGACCGAGATTCGAGATTTGGGGGAAGCACAGTGTTCAGAATTTGGCGCCCAATATTGCAGGCAGACTAGCACAGCCCCATTGTGGCGGGGTTCTAATTGGTCTCGCTCACCCCTTTTGACCCTGGCGTTGATCTCAGTGGGGGAATCGGTCATCTTCCGCAAGGAAGCCAAAGGCGGTTCAAGCGAACAATCTATTCAGGACATGCCTTGGGTCAAAGAACTTAGAGGCCTGGGCAAGGGCTTCGGTTTCTTTTGGCTTTACCTCGATAGACTGCCATTTCAAGCATGTCACTTGCAAGAGTTGCTCGGGTACGATGCACAAATCAACATAAGACAAGTCAAGGCCACAATAGCGATTCTGAAAAATTTCCTTGGTGATAAGAGGTTCATCTCAGGTTCGAACTTGGCTGAAGATAGAATTACTTTAGGGCCGCATTTCAAACGATGCCTGAACACTGATAAGCCCACGAACCGGGACAGCACCCCATACCATGGACCAAGCATAACAGAAACCTCTTCAATCATCGGCCCTGATTTCCTGATAGGCCGTATTGGATAAGAAAATGTATCATATTGGCTTTGAGGCCGGCTGAATTGTCACCCTTCACCGAATGATCACTCTCTAAGCTATGAGGACCGTAACACAAACTTAGTTTAGAGTCATTACATTCTTGAATTGCCAAGGCTTTACCAGCTGCTCACACATCTACCATGACTAAGAGAAGCCTCCCCATCTTAACGGCACCTACCTCGCCTGCTAAGTCTATGATGCGAGCTTGCCATGGCTCAACCCTGAGCAGATACTAGGTTCCACTGCACTAATATGACGGCCAAGATAGAGCTGAAATGAAACTCGACGGCTACAGAGTTTCATAATTTGAGTCACGTGGGCAGTTTCAGCCTTAAGAAGACATCGAAATGTACTCTTATCCGCAAAAGTACAGTACACAAAGTGCTTTGTCGATTGTTTCGAGTGGCCAAATCATGGCTCCTGGTCTGGCCATCAAGCTTTCAGGCGATTTCATCAAGTTCCTCTAGAACATCCTACCGAGCAGGCGTTTCCAGGCGGCCTGACTAGCAACCATCTCTCGATGCGCGTTGATCTCGTCCCAGTCATGCTCCCGCCTCCCGGTATCAACATCCACATCCCGTATCTTGAGCCAGCCTGATCTCTTCCAAATGAAACCACAAACCCAGAATAAAAGAACTACAGGGAGGGCTAGGTATGCTTTAAAAAAACCCTCCACATCATTGAGTCCTTCTTTTCCCGGTGGTGCGATTGCGGTGTAGAACTGAATTAGCCAATGTTAGTCCTAGTTCGACAGACGAGCAGCAGAAATGACGGCGTACCTGAGCTGCCAGAACAATAAAGCAGAGAAACAATCCAAGCCAGGAGCCGTAAACACCCCCGACGGCTTGGAAAGGAATTTCATCCAGAGTGTGGCCATGATACGACCAGGCTTGGCGGAAGCGGATATGCGCAAGGCAGATGGAGCCCCATGAAAACGTTGCAGCAAGGCCACCTAATGCGAGCAGCCAGTCGAAAACAACTGGTCCGGACGTGCTGAGGTTGACGTATGCCAGCGGGCCAAAGGCCAGCATGAATATAGTAGAAGCCAGAGGCCGTCCTGAGCGATCGATATACGTAAAGATCTCAGGGGCATAGCCCTGCTGAGCGAGAGCCGTTAGAGTCCGAGAGCCGCCGAAAACGCAGGACATTCCGACGGATAATACCGATATCAGGATAACCGCGTTGATGAAATGGTCGTAGCCCCTCAAGCCAGCGTAAAGGCCGACGAGGACAAATGGGGAGGCAGAAACGTCGGCATAGGCGGATTCTGAAATCAATCTAGGATCGTCAGACCGAATAAGAAGGCCTATCAGAGAGAGACCCAGGACGTAGAAGAGGGTAACACGCCAGAAGACCTGCTTGATGGCACTAGGAAGCGCTTTCGTAGGGTTCTTGCTTTCAGCAGCAGCAAGGCCCACCAGTTCGGAACCGTTGAAAGAGAAAGCAGCGGTAACAAACACGGAACAGAACCCTCGGAACCCGTACCGGAATGGCCCGGGGTCTTGCCAAAGTCGGGTGCCCCAGTAATCGTCGTACCGTCCAGAAGAAGGGCCCCCTCCACAAATCAGGACAACAGAAATCACCATAAAGGTGCTGATAGTGATGATCTTTAACAAGGAGGCCCAGAACTCTTCTTCGGCGTAACCAATACCGCCGAAGAGGTTTAAGAAGAGTAATGCCACTATAAAGATTGTGATCCACAGCCCGATGCTGGTGGAGTTGTCCCAGTACCGAATGACCATACCACAGACGGTAAGTTCAAGTGGGAGGATGATAGCCCAAGAGAAAATGTAGTTCCATCCCATGGCGAAGCCCCAGGACGGATCGATAAATCGGGTAGAATAAGTATAGAAGCCCCCGGAGATAGGGTACATGACGGCCAACTCGCCAAGTGCGAAGACTGGTCAGATATGCATCAGATCGTGTACCGAGAGGTGAATTTGGGGGACTGTTGTGCTTACCGACGTTGAAGATCAAGATTCCTGTCAGGCAGAAACATATGATGAGAGACGCTGGTCCCTAAAAGGTTGTTAGCCTTTAACAAACACGACCAGCGAGATTGGGAAGGGGCCTGACACCGGACGAAAGAGCCCGCCCAGACCCAACAAAGAACCCAGCACCAATCGCTCCTCCAATGGCGATCATGTTCAGATGCCGGGCTTGCATGGGCCGCTTGAGCTCGAGCGAGCCTTTTCCATAATGGCCCTTCTTGAACGAGGCAAGATTGAGTCCATAGCGAGTAAAGAAGTTCTCCTCGTGGAAAAGCTCGGATGCGACCACCTCCTGAGTGCTGGTGTTTTTGAGGCCCATATCAGGCTTCTCGGTCTGAAAACCGTCGATGGTTTGTTGCTCTTGAGTCGTGGAGTCCATGATGCTGAGAGTAGAGGCCAAGGGTGGAACGTCTGGGGAAGTCTGGGAAAAGGATACCCAATATAAATACCTTGGTCTCCAATCAGGCATTTTGACCCTGCCATAGTGGACTACTCTTTCGTATGCGTAGAATTATCCGATCAAGAGATATTCTTATCTCGCCTCCATTGTGGACGGGCTTCCCACGAGTCATGCTGGAAGGACTAGGCCGTCACTAGCTCCAAAGTATATCAAATCAGCATCACCAGAGCCCGCATCACCACTGCCCGCGGAACCGCGGACCGCGGAACGCCCCAACCATGTGGAGTTTTCCGCGGGCAAGACGAGGCCTCTCTTTCTATCAGGGCATCACTTGTGGTGTGACCGACCTTTCAGACTAACTTCGGGATCTTACACGATAAACAACCCACCTCTCAAAACCACTCGAGATGGTAAGACTGAGTCCCGATTGCTACGTGCAACACTTTACTTGACACTCTTGTTTTGTCAAGCCCCGATCCGTTATCGGTCGATGTCTGCCAACTGACTAGTAAGATCCTGGGGCTTTCCGAGAAGGGAGGTTGGCAGGGGGCGGCGGCTTTGGACACGAAATTGGTGATGCAGGCAGGGAGGGTACCTCGAGGGAAACCACTTTGATGTTATGATGGATGGTGAGACTTCTGCCTTGTTATCTGCATCACAGACGCTACAAGGTCTAGTGATTCGTGATGCAACCAGACGGACAGTCTGACATAATCAGTCGTATTTTTACACCAAGACTGTTCGCAAACCGGCTGAACATTGCAACGACTTTTACATAGGTCACGGCTACTCACGAGGCCATGGCTTTGACCACCCTGGATGGATGTCATGTCCCGGCCGGGTGAATCTAGAGCCTCTTGCAGCCGGCGGCCTTGGACGAAGTTTGCATGGACATCGAGAACAATTATGGTGTCTAACGTAAACTTCAGGCCTTGAATACAAAGATAGGTGAGACGCCATCATCTCTCAGGTTCACCCCATGTTATCCCCAGGGTAGTTATTTAGTGGTGTCTATGATCAATAACCTCACAGACTTCAGCGCCTTCGAATTTGACGCGATCTAAAGACTATCTGGTATTTCACGGAACAAGACATCCTATAGATTCCTGGAATTGTCTCTGACACGAACCTTCGTATTTCTTTCCTCAATAATCGCACTGGCCATCATCCCAATCATCTAAAGTTAGGTCTCCCTCTTACGCGATACGTATGGGCAGAATGGCGAACTCACTTGCGTGCATAGCACGACAAATCTTAAGTCAATAATGAGTAAAGGAAGCATGCGACTCCATGGATCGGACTCCATGCGGTATGCAACGACGTAGACGATGCGCAAGGTATAGCTTTGACATTGCATATTCAGCGCCAGAGGCACTTTAGACCTACAAATTTAGGGAGAACTTCAGGAAGAGACAACAATTGGTTGTTCACTTGCAGATAGTCTGGAGTTCAATAAATCTGCAGGCGGAGATGTACTTTACGGCGCAGAATACACGTGTGCAACGACGGGTAAATCACTTCTCTCTAACAGTGACAAGTGAAACCGATACTAAATACTGTCCATGCGAGTGGGCTTCGATCCGCACAAACTACAAATTGTTCAATCCTAACATGAATTTTGAACGACACCAAAGTTGAAATGAGACGCAAGTTTTCGGGTAATGGATTCGATGGCATAGCAACAATGATGACTTGTAATCAACTGGGCACTTAAATCCTCTTCAAGGTCGTCAGAGACGCCACTAGACATAAACGTTTCCCTTGTGCGTATGAAACAGATGGACGTATGGCAGGCATCAGTGAGGAAGACATCCCGGCGCGGAGCTTCGAGTCTGGCGACGTGGGTGTCGAGGTTCGGTTTACACGAAGTCCGTGACTCCACTTCTTGAATCAAAATGCGACAACAAGAGTGGATTCATCTACTAACTTTAAAAACAGGATCCACTTATCAATCCTTAGAAGGACAGAGAGGTGCATTACCGAGCACTCCGAGAGGCCGAAGCCGAGGAGAGAGCCGTTGCGCGATCACCTGTCCCTGGCTCCTAAATGACTTACCCGATGATCTCTCGGGTGATGGGTCAGCCCGAAAGTGCTTCCTTGAGAATGGCGGGTCGGGTTCTCGCAATGTTTACTGACGCCCACCTCCCTACACAACCGTCTCAATTATGACCACGAAATTGATTTAAAAGCATTCAGAGTCGTCTGCACAAGGCATTATATCGGTAAGTAAAGAAAGAGAGACGGCTAAAGCGGACAAATACATGCGCCACATCCTGGGGTGATAACATCCAGTGTTTTGGAGTGTAGAGCGCGATCTGAAGATTCGCAATCCAAGATCCATGGTTGTAACATGGACGAATCAGGGAGCGTATAGAGATTTGATTGCGGCGTGAGACCATGCCGAGACTCAGTCACCGCTGCGAGCAATCCAAATATGCCAAGCATTATGCAACACGTCCCACAGCATGGTCGACATAAGTTATATAAGTACATGCGGGTGCCCTCACTCAAGAGCTAGATACGACTTGCTAGCCCACCGATTCCCAGCCAGAATCTTCAGTCCATTCATATCACCGTTACGCAAGTCATCATGGTTTTCAAAGTCATCATCGTCGGAGGCAGCGTGGCAGGGCTGTCTTTGGCCAACATGTTGGAGGCTCTTGGTATTGACTTCATCCTTCTTGAAGCACATAAGATCATTGCCCCCCAGCTTGGGGCCAGCATCGGCCTCCTTCCCAATGGTTTGCGGATTCTCGACCAGCTCGGCTGCTATGAAACCGTTAGGCACGAAGCAGGGATATAAAAGGGGCCCTCGGTAGAGTTTAATAACCCCTTTCCCTAGGTAGTGATTTTCGAAATATCCTATTTCTATATCTATTCTTTTTAGTAACGTTTTAGTTCTTTTTTCCTAAGCTGACTTTAAAGATTATTTAGCTTACTATAGGTTTATAGGATAGTAGATTCGTCTAGCTCGGCTCTTAATAGGAGCTTAGCTAGGTTTTCTTTCCTATACTTAATAGGAGCTTCTTCTTCGATTAGAGTAATATTATTTACGGGGAGCTCTATAGGAAGCCTTAGTTCTCGAAATCGCTTAAGGCCTTAGTAGAAGTCGATAGCTACGTAACGTTTAAGCTCTTAAAGAAATACTACTTTACTATTAGTAGAAATATAATTTACGATATAGCTTTAATTAAAAATTTAGTAGTCCGAGTATATAAGAAACTAAGACTAGATTATATTATTATATTAGCTTAGAATATTATATTAGCCTTAGGTTATCCTAAGTATATATAAGTCTCTTCTATTATTCTTATTTATAATTTCCCTTCTTAAACTATACTAGACCTAATATATACCCCCTCCTAATATATAGCGTTTATTAATAAGGAGATTATAAAAGGTCTACTTAAATATATATTATAATATAGCGTCTTCTATTACTATACTATCCGATATTACTCTCTAGAGGATAGGTATATCTACTATTAATTTCTTCTAAGGGATTTTTATATAAATATAACTATTAAGAATTATTTATTCTTAGATATCCTCCTATTAAATAATACCTTATCCATAAAAGCTATACTTAGGAGAAAAAGAAGCTCTATATATTTAAAAGTATAGTATTCTTCGATAGGGATTCTATATTTACGAGTCTTCTATTAAGCTTAGTAAAGTAATCTTTAGAGCTATCTTACTAGAATTAAGAGATATCCTTAGAATTTATAGGGAAGAGGAAAAGAAGATAGAGACTATATCTATAATATTTTTAAGGTCGTAATTATTCTTAACCTATTATTAATTAATCTTATAAATATACTCCTAGTTACTATTATCCGCTCTAATTAAGCTTAATTCGATATCCTAAAAATAATAAAAGGTTAGAAATTAGCTTTAAATATTAGTATTTAAAGTTTAGTAAACTACTTACCCTATATTAAAGCCCCTTTCTAGTAAAGAAGGCCCCTAACCTTACCCCGCTCTAGTAGTAAAACGAAATAATAAAAGAAAAGTTTATCTAGGTCTTTTCGGGAATTATAGCGAAGTCGCTATAAGTCTAGAGACTAATAAATATCCTATTAAGGTCTTTCTTCTTAAAATTATACTTTAAAAGGTAATAGTTCTCGATTAACTTATCTTATTAATAGATAATAACCTTTAATTACTATATACTAAGTTAGAATTTATAAGTTAGCCTTATAGGGAAAGAGTACGAGAAATAAGAGGTATTTATTTCTATAATATAGGGGTAAAGTATATACTAATAGTATATATTTCGCTCCGATCGTTCTCGTCGGCTTTAGTTATCGTAGTACGAGTAAATCTAGTAAAGAAGAATTCTATATAGCTCTTTATCGAGTTTAATAATATCCTTCTATTCTTAGTTATATACCCTATATTTTAGGATATATAAAACTATATAAAGTCTTTAATATCCTCTAATAATAGAAGTAGTATAGTAATAGATAGTATAGATTCCTAGACTATTTATAGAGATTATATAGGCTCTAAGGGGTTATCGCCTTAAAATTCTTTATTATATAACTACTTATATTAGTAAAATAAATATTAATAATTATAAAGTAATATAGTCGTAGTTATAGGGACCTATAATCTTAGCTCTTAAATACTTAGTTTATAGTATTATATTAAGATACCCTCCCCTAGTAAGAGGG